TGTTATCCCTAGGTCCTTTTCTGCAGAACTGCTACTTAGCCATTCAGTCCCCAGCCTGTAACAATGTTTGGGATTCTTCCATCCCAAGTGCAGGACTCTACACTTGTCCTTGTTGAACCTCATCAGATTTCTTTTGGCCCAATACTCTAATCTGTCCAGGTCCCTCTGGAACCTATCCTTGCTCTCCAGTGTATCTACCTCTCCCCCTAACTTAGTGTCATCTGAGAACTTGCTGAGGGTGCAATCCATCCCCTCATTAATAAAGATATTGAACAAAACTGGTCCTAGAACAGATCCTTGGGGCACTCCGCTAGAAACCGACCGCCATCCTGACATCGAGCCATTGATCACTACCCATTGGCCCGACAATTTAGCCAGCTTTCTGTCCATCTTACAGTCCATTTATCCAATCCATACTCCCTTAACTTGCTGGCAAGAATATTGTGGAGACCATATCAAAAGCTTTGCTGAAGTCAAGGTATATCACATCCTCTGACTTTCCCATATCCACAGAGCCAGCGACTTGCCCTTCATGAATCCATGTTGACTATTCCTGATCACTTCCCCCTCTTCCAAGTGCTTCAAAATGGATTTCTTGAGGATCCCCTCCATGATTTTTCCAGGGACTGAGGTGAGAGTGACCGGCCTGTGGTTCCCTGGATTGACCTTCTTCCCTTTTTTAAAGATGGGCTCTACATTTGCCTTTTTTCAGTCATCCAGGATCTCTCCCAATCTCCACGAGTTTTCAAAGATAATGGCCAAAGGCTCCACAATGACATTTGCCAACTCCCTCAGCACCCTCGGATGCATTAAATCCAGACCCATGGATTTGTGTATGTTTAGCTTTTCTAAATAGTTCCTAACTTGTTCCTTCCCCACTAAGGGCTCTCCACCACCTTCCCATACTGCGTTGCCTAGTGCATTTGTCTGGGAGCTGACCTTGTCCGTGAAGAGAGAGGCAAAGAAAGCATTGAGTACTTCAGCTTTTCCCACATCATCTGTCAGTAGGTTACCTCCCTCATCCAGTAAGGGCCCCACAACCTCTCTGATCATGCTTTTATTGCTGACATGCCTGTAGAAACCTTTCTTGTTACCCTTCACATCCCTTGCTAGCTGCGATTCCAATTGCACTTTCGCCTTCCTGATAACTCCCCTGCATGCTTGAGGAATATATTTATACTCCTCCCTAGTCATCTGTCCAAGTTTCCACTTCTTATAAGCTTCCTTTTTGTGTTTAAGCTCATCAAGGATGTCCTCGGTAAGCCAATCCAGTCGCCTGCCATATTTGCTTTTCTTGCTGCACATCGGGATGGTTTCTTCCTATGCCTTTAATAAGGCTTCTTTAAAATACTGCCAGCTCTCCTGGACAACTTTCCCCTTCATGTTAGCATCCCAGGGAATCCTGCCCATCAGTTCTCTGAGGGAATCAAAGTCTGCTTTTCTGAAGTCCCTGATTGGCCTGGGCATGGGAGAGTGTGCCTAGCCTCTTCCAGGGCATGGGTGCCGGGGGGAAAGGGCTTCCCCTCCCCCAGACCAATTGTGGTCTGGGGGTGGGGTAGCCCCACCCCTTCCTATTTAGGCCCCGCCCCTTCCTATTTAGGCCCCTCCCCTCCCGGGGTGGCCGTGGGCTGATTCAAAAATTTTTGAAGGGGCCCCCAGGCAAAAATTATTGCCCACCCTTGCCTTAGGGCATGTCTACACTGGAGCTGGGAGCATGCCCTTCCCCCAGGCTAGGTGGAGAGACTCACGTTAGCTTTGCTCGAGTTATCCTGCTACAAATAGCAGTGGGGATGATGTGGCACAGGTGGCTGCCCAGAGGTCACATGGCTTGGCTCAAGTGACTAGCCTGTTGAAATGAATGGGATTTCTGACCTCAGCCAGAGGAGAAAGACTTGGTCCCAAGAATGGTAGCAAGGTACGTCCACTTTGAGTAGGTGTACACATCAATGCAAGGTGCAGATGTAACCCACTTGCCTTCTGGGTGTGGGGCACTGTCCCAGCTAGTGGGACCGAGACCATCTACAGAGAGACTATTGAGCCTTAGCTGAGAGCCAGCTGGCTTTTAGCTCCTGCTGTAGAGTTGCATGGTCTCAGCTCCAGAGGTCCCAAGTTTGATTCTGCCTGCTTGTGTTACACTGAGAAGTAGAGAACTATGGGTATGTCTACACTACAAAGTTAATTCGAACTAACAGACGTTAGAGTAGTGATAGAGATGTAGCCGTGTTAGTCTGGTGTAGCTGAAACAAAATACAGGACTATGTAGCACTTTAAAGACTAACAAGATGGTTTATTAGGGGATGAGCTTTCGTGGGCCAGACCCACTTCCTCAGATCAAATAATGGAAGAAAATAGTCACAACCATATATACCAAAGGATACAATTTTAAAAAAATGAACACACATGAAAAGGACAAATCACATTACAGAACAGAAGTGGGATGGAGGGGGGAGGTGAATGCCAGTGAGTTAATGATATTAGAGGTGGGGAAGGGGAAATGTCTGTGAATTAATAGTATTAGAGGTGATAATTGGGGAAGCTATCTTTGTAATGGGTAAGATAGCTGGGGTCTTTGTTAAGTCCCCTGC